CAAGGACAACAGCTGCTGATTCTCCTTCACTCTGCTTCTGCTGCTTGAGGTGCTGCTGCTGCTGCTGCTGCTACTACTACTACTACTACTACTACTACCACTACTACTACCACTACCACTACCACTACCACTACACCACCACCACCACCACCACCACCACTACTACTACTACTGCTGCTACTACTACTACTACTACTACGACTACCACTAGTACTACCACTAGTACTACTACTACTACTACTACTACTACTACTACTTCTACGCCTCCTACTACTGCTACTACTACTACTACTACTACTACTGCTACTGCTACTATTACTACTACTACTACTACTACTACTACTACTACTACTACTACGACGACTACTACGGATCCTACTCCTAGTCCTAGTCCTACTCCTACTCCTCCCCCTGCTGCTGCCCCTGCAGTAGCTGCTGCCACTGCTGGCTACTGCTGTTACTACTAAGTCACTACGACGACGACTACTTCTACTACCACTACGACTACTGGTTGTACCACTCATTATTGCTACAACTGGTACCGGCACTGGTCCTCGGACCCATAAATCATAAAAGTACTTCTGAGGCATCGGAGCAGACCGTGTCGGAGTGAGCAGGAAACTGACACGCAAACCTTGTCAGACGAAGAGGCAAGCTGCCAGAGCGGCTGAGCTGCAGTTGTCATGGAGTCACATTGAAACAGGCCGAACAGGGAGGAAGTGGCGAATCTCATAAGTCTTCCCCCGCAAACAAATCCCATGGACGACGGGCTTGAAAGCGCCTGCCCGATCGCCGAACTCGTTGTTGCTGGAGCCACCTGACTGCGCTCACGCCTGGGGCAACCGAAAGCCAATGGCACATATGCTAGCGGGCAAGGCACAGTTGGGACGTTCTTCCTAGTGAGCGAAACTCAAGGATGGTAATTAAGAGGTCTCTCTGCCCAGGGACTCCTCGGATGCCAGCCATTCCAAGTAATCTTTGCCTGGGCTGGTGGGCATCTCTCTAAAGTGCGGTCGCAATATAGATATCACAGAGGCTTGAGTTCCTCGAGAAAAACATTGTTTTGACTGTGCTGCCGCTGTGGGATACGGGAATTTGGGAGAGGCACCCCACAAGTATAACAAGAAAAACAAAGTTCAGGACAAGAACGCTGACTCACAATACTTTAAACATCCTCCAACTTTCGACGTAAATCGCCGGCCTCGGCTGCGCTCCTCCGATGAGCCAACAATCAAAAGGGCCCATCGACCTGACTCCGCCACCACGCTGACGCTTGAAGGCTAGATGCTGCAACTGCAACCCCGGCTACGACGACTACTGCAGAAAAGACACCACTCCTGCTGCAACTTCCGCACTCACAACCGCCACACCACCAGACCACGATGCTGCTACCAATATCTACCAATACTACGTAATCATGGCCACTCTTCTTCCTGCTGCTGCCTCGTCCTCCTCCTGTTCCTCCTCCTCCTGCTCACTCTACGCCTACACTCTTATGCCTATACTCATACGTTCCTGTACTCGCCTCCTCCCATCTCCTCCATCTCCTGCTCATCCTCCACGTTGATGAGAGAAAGAGCAAACAGTAGCAAGAGTTAATGGGATGCTCGGCTCAGACGGATCAAATGTGGTACACACGAACTGCTTCAACTGCTACTGCTGCTGCTACTGCCACTGCTTCTGCTACTACTGCGACGGCGACTGCTACTGTACGAGGTCAAATGCTTCTGCAATCGCAAGCCAGGGAATCCATGGGTGAGGAGAGTAATAACGGCTAGCGGCCAACGAGTCTGGGCAGCTGGCGAAGAAGCTCAATGTGGCATCCTGCAGCGGTGCTTGCTCGGCGCACGGCTTCCTGAAAAGGGCATTCTGCCACGGGAGGAGGCGGGGAACACAGGTCGCGCATCGACACCCCTTCCTGCCTTTAGCTGCTTCTTGAGATGATGCAGGAACGTCCCTGCACCTGCCCGGGCCAAGTGCCAAATGTCGAAAGTCTCGCTCTTCGATACTCTTGCCTTGACTGGACAGCGGAACGACATTGATATCAATGGAAGTGTCCTGGCATTTCAGAGGTCGTCCTACTTGTCGGGATGAACGCTGCGCGATATTACACAAAGCTTCGCAGTCGCGGATGAAAGCGTGCCTCGCCAACGCTTCCTCTGAGCTCCTGCCAGCATGGCTTCGGCCCACGTCTGTGGCGCTCGACAGGTGGAGAGGTGAACTGACTGACAGGCCCTTCCCACCTCCGTAGTTCGAAGGAGCTCAGTGGTCCACAGGCCAGGACACTGCTCCTCAACCTGTTATTTCAACGTCAAAAGAACTGAATCAGCTCCCACCAGCGTAGAACCATCTAGCAGGTTGGCATCGACCCCAGTAACCCCAGTATTCATCTCGTAAGGCTGCGCTCTGATTTCAGCTTTTGCAACAGGCGGGCTGCACAATGGTCGCGATCTTGACAACCACAATCTTCCGCTCTCGCCTCAGGCACAGGAGCCATCAGGAGCCGAAGCTGCTTGCCGGGTGCTCGAAGTGCGAGGCTTTGTGAGGCTGCTGCAAAGGTCCGAAGACCGCCAGTCGCCAAGCCGCGGCGAGCAAATGCTCGTGTTTTTGCCTGCGAAGAGCCCGGATGTGGTTGCGCTGCTCACGTCCACAGCCCAGCCAATCTGCCTTCTCTTAGACTCCGCGGAGGGCTTGGGCTTCACATCCTGGAAGAGGGTTGGAAGACTTGCAGTTGACGCTCCAGCGCGGTGACCCCAATGCGAAGGTGGCCACGCATCCTCATGACCCTAAACATCCCTAAACCCTAAAACGCGAAACCCAAAACATGAACCCAACATCTACCTTAGATGGGGGCCGCTGCCTTGGCAGATGAGATTGTGCCAGTCCTGCCGAGGAATCCTTGACGTACTGGAATCACAACTCCAGCGAATCTCCACCTGAACCGTCTGGATCGGTTGTGAACAGCAATACGGAGCAGACGCCGCAGGTGTTTGGATTCTGATGCTTCCTGGCATGTGGTCATGAAGTGTGTAGCTGAAGCTGAAGTGGGACAACGCACAACTCTGCTACAAAGCTGCTCGGCCCTTTGAGGCTGACCTTCCCACTCAATGCATCGACATCTGTGACCGTGGCGTCGTACCTGAGCAGATGTAACAAGTCCGAGCCGCGATGCCGCAGTGCCCCTCGCTCCCGACTTCCTCAATTCAAGCACGAATAGGCCAGTGGCCAGTCGCCGTCCTCAAAGACGGCACGGACTTCTACTCCAGGCCTGACCTCCTGCAGAAAACACGAGTAGCAAACTGCAAAGCAGCTTGTCAGGCGATCCTTGCTCTACAACCGTCTGATGTTGGCACTTAAAACAGCAGCTCGCTCTCAAGCCTCGTCCATCTCCAGCTCCGCCTAAAGAAATATCAAAGGGAGTACGCTGCAGAGACTGTTAAAAACAGTCACATGTTGTAGCAGCAGTTAAATGCGGCTGAGCATGCGGCTTTCAGTTTCTGGCTGTCGGTCTGGGAATCGGTTTGCTTGCACCAAACCCCCGACCTGGAGATCGACGGATGCAAACCAAGCAAGGCTGTCCTCGCACCAGCTTGGACTCCCACACCCCAAATTCAACCTCTAGGCTTTCCAGCTCTTTCTCCACAGCCTGGCAGGAGAGGGCAGCAGGAATCCCCACTGCTGGATGATCTCTCCAGATGCAGCTGCAAATCTGGATGATCAGGTTGTGACCATCCATCCGACCGCAGCTTCAGCACCGCACCCTCCCTTTTGACGAGCCTACACTCTACACCCGTGCTGGCTGCAGGTGTTGCCGATCTTTGAAACTGGATGCAAGTTTAGGAGGGCGTCTTTGGCCAGGAAGGCCTGACTGGCAACCTGTTCATCTCCGGCCTCCGCGGCAGCATGTGGCACCCTAATGCTGGCCTCGGCAGCGAGCGCACTTCCATGTCAGGAGGAGCGCGCACGGCACGGCATAAGCTCTCACGTCCACGAAGCTTACTGCTTGCTGTCTGCTAACCATCAGGCCCTGGCCGCGAAAGCTTCAAGCTCATGGGGCACCTAAACGTCAGGCCGCCACTGTACACAGTACACAGAATCTACAGCAACACGGCTGCTGCTTCCACCATCTTCGGCCAACTTCCACATGTGAGACACATGAACATGAGAATCGTGAGGGGGCCTCTGGTGCCCACATCTGTACCTGCCACATGCTCGGGATGGCTGGCACGACATCATGCCCTTTCCATGACGAATCGGCTCACCATCTCCAGGAATCGTTGGCCGACCTGACGCGCAGGGAGAGGCCCGACAAGGAGGCCTCAGGGCGCAAATTGCACGTGGCATGGGCTGAGGCCGGCTATCGCCTGAGAGCTTCCGGGCTAAGCCAGCCGGGACACTCACGAGTCCCACGGGTGCAGAGAGTACCTCCAGGGAAGCGTTGAGAGCACTGTTGAGGGCACCCCCTCTATGCCGTCTCCGGGCCTCGAGGCAGCGCGGGAGGACCCGGAGATATCGGGCCAAGGCCGCTTCGCCGCCGTAGACGGGACAACGCAAGGCAGAGCAGCCAAGCCGTTTAGTAGCAGAGCTCTGCGAGGTCTGCGAAGAGTCGAAGGAGTCGCAGAGGATTGGCATCCGCTCGAGTCGACCGGGGAGCAGCTCCTCGCTGAGCTGCAGGAGCGCCAGAATTCCTGGTTTCGGATCACAGCTGAAGACCAGCAGCCGCAGCCATGAACTCGCCTTCGAATCGTCTGAACTTGACTTGAGGAAGCCGAAGATGACCTGGTACTTCTCCATGAGCCTGTGAAGCTCAGCTTGTCCTTTCTCCAGAAGCTCTTCTGGGAGCAGGATGTCGGTAGCCGCATCTGCCACCTTAGAGTGGACAGGGCCAAGACTGGACCCAAATCGTAGGCTACATAGGCTTGTTAGCCCATAGTTTCTCGAAGGCTCCAGCCTCGGGGGACTCGGACTCGGAAGCCATGGGGGGGCCGAGCAAAGTTCCGGAGAGGGCCTCGGCCGCCAAGGCGGCCCTCGCGGGGGCTGCAGCGCCCGCCACGGAGAGCCACACCTACGGGAAGGCCGCTTTGAGAGTCTTTCAGGGACTCTTCTCGGCGTCCGCCTCTCCAGACTGGAGCTCCCGAACTTCCAGCAGCTCATCGCCGAGTTCCTCCTCGGAGCGGGCATCGCGTAGGCTACTAGGATTTCGAAGCAGGAATCATGCTTACACCGCATGTACCACACGAATTTAGTACATGACACTGGTGCAATGGCAAGCCCTGCTAAACACACCTAGACCCAAATAGAGTTGCCGTCATGCACTATTGCAAAGCGTGCTGAAAATGTTTGCAGCAAGCCTGTTTCAAGTCATGTTCAGGCACCTGTCTGATACAACTGTGGTAGTTGCTTCATCTTCATTCCATCAAACACCGACAGTGCTGTCCTCGCCATCTGGGAAGCGAGTTGTCCAGAAGACAGCGCCTGTTTCTGGCTCTTCCCTCCTGCAGTGTCGCCGAAACTGCCGTGTCAGGGATTAGGTTAGCGGAATCTTTACCAGTATCGTCTGCACGGTATTTTTCTATGTCGCACTATTAGTTGTAGCATTCCATGCGATAAGCTTTCTGATTCTGTAAATGTGCCGAGAGCACGAGGAAGACAATTCCGCTTCTTGTCCTGCTTACCACTCGCCCAAAGCGACCCTCTCGTAGCCCGCCAACCACCACGACCGGAGCACCTCAAGAGACAATGGAGAGTCAGCAGAATAACATGACAGGGCGATTCCTTCGGCCTGGCTGCATCACCGGGGAGGCGGTAATGGAGATGTCTGGGTCCTGGCAGGGCTGCCAATTAGCCTGCAAGCCTCATTCTGAAATCGCATTCGCGCCGTAGGCCTGGACCCAGCCACTCCCGTCCACACGCCGCCAGCCTCGCCAAACACTTCCAGTAAACACAATTGCAGTTTGACAGGTTCAGACAGACTGCTTCACCACTGGGGGATATCGACTTCAATGCAAGATTCGATGGCACAACCAGGGCCGCCGCCACCTGGCTCGAGCCTGGCCAACTCTGATTCAAGTCTAAGTCCATGCGAACTCTTCCGGAGAGGACTCGTTCTTGAACGTGACAGATCTTTACAGGTTGTAAAGGATCCAGTTCAGGCCCAGGCCTCGGGAGGCCGGCAACAGCTTAGGACGCTGGACTCGGCGGATCCGGTCTCTGCGCCTGTGTGGCAGATGTCCTCCGTGGACTTTGGCCTGGTGCAGCAGGCCGGAGCCTCGGACGTTGACAGAAATGACAGAATTGGAAGGAAAAATCCCTAAAGCAATTGCGTGTAGCTGCCTTCAATGCAGCTGTGGGGAGATGTTGTTCTTGTCTCCGGCATCAGGCATTACTGCAATGCGGAAAACTTGCGCAAAACCAGTTATGAAAGGTAGTACCACTGCAGCTGCGAAACGGCACATGAAATCCATGTCTCGCTGCTTCACTCCACCCACCAGCCACGTGCCTGGCCAAACGTCAAGTCCAACTATGTCGTTCTTGCGGTTCGCGGCCAGTAGGGCTCTGCATTGCCACAACGACGTTCAGTGAAATGTAGGTCAAGCACTATCTGTGCCGCTGTAAACCCATCGATTGGCATCGACCTGGCATCAGAAGAAAAGCAAATGATCTTGAAAGTCCAGTATCACACCAGAGCAAGGCTTCGTCGGATTGTTGGCACAGCACCCAGCGCTTAACTCTTTACAGCAAGTCTGCGACAGCTGGTCAGGCTGCCTTCTTCCAAATGGGCTGGCTGTTCACCTTCTTTCTGGCAAGGCGCCTGTACTTCCCAGCACCTTACAAGTACTACGTACACAGATCTCGAACGGATGGTGTCGCAGCATGCGCATGAGCAGCGGACACACGCGCTGCCCGTTTGGGCAGGCGATCTCCAAGTATCTGGGAACCTGTCAGGTCCCAAGTTGGGTGAAGACTGGAGCCTTTCGCCTGGCCCGCCTCCCCCTCCCAATCCGTCCGCCCGACGTTTGCCGGGAAGATCTCCGCCTCAACCTGCACATGAGCTTGCACTCATCCAGCCCCTCCTTGAAGACGAATGTCAGCCAACGGCCCATCCTAAATCATCCCGAACTCACCCTCTCCCTGGTTTCGGCCTCCGCAATGCATCGGAGGTGGCCCAGCCACCTCGGAGGAGCACTGATGCAGGGAGACTTACAAGGTGTGGCCTAGTGGGCCTCGTAAGCAGCCGGCTCCCGGATCCTGGGCACTGCCTCTGTTGGCACAGTGACGGTCAGCACGCCGGGTCCCTGCAACACCGGCTCCTCACGCTCGGATCCGCTCGGGAGCTTTCGGTGTTTAGGACGATAGGGAGCGGCTTTTTTTTTTGAGTGCATGTCGTGCCTCTGCGAGGAGGTCGGCCTCCAGACTGCCGTCCAGATTCTCGGCTGTGGCGGCTGCGGCCTTCACCACGAGGTGAAGAGCTGTAGCATGCTGCAGCTGCAGATGCTTTCAACACAACCAATACGTGCGTCACAGCCCTTCGATATACTTCTATCAAACGCCACAATAGCAGGACCACCTATCATACAGCTTTGAACTTTGACGATCTCTTGTCTCAGTATGAACGCCAGATGTCACAGGCTAGACAGTCGGACGAGCGGGTCTTTCAAAGAATGTTGCAGGATGTCCATCGCAAGATGGTAAGCCACGACTGTAACATATACGAAGAGCCAGGCCTGGCCGTTATCCCCGGGCGGAACTTCTGCAGCTGCCTCGCTAGGTGCATGAAGGTAGCAGGACCGGCAAACGTTGGACTGTGAAACGGTTGTCAGCAAGTCACAATCAAATGACGTGCAGCATCTGGCCTGGCTTGCTGGAGGAGATGGAGCACTTTCGACGTGAGCCTCAACACTCCTTGGCAAAGATTTTACACGTGAGCCGGAAGTGCAAATGATGTGCTGGGGATGGAGTGGAGGGAAGGGTGACAGGTACAGTAACAATAGATTTGGGAAGGACACGCGCAGCTATAGAGGAGACTTAGTGTCTTCCAGATTATTATGGCCTTAATGCTTCTGGAAAGGAGAGCGCCGGTACTTTGAAATGCACAGACACAAACACACACGGAGAAATGGGCTCACCAATCGCATCTGTCAGCTGAAAGCCGCTATTGATCCAGTATTCGCGGTACGGTAGTAACCTGACATGCGTAACTCCATGTCAGAGGGTTGTTCTATATCCTTGTTCCACGCATGCCAATTATGATCCCTTGCGCTTCGCCCTTGCGCGTTCCTTGGGCGTGCTTGCGCGCGTGAGGTTTTTTGAAGACTAGGGTTTGTTACAGTGGCTTGTTCACCTTTGGTGGCTTCGAGTCTAGGCTTCGGCTGCGGGTAAACACTGGGGCTTCAAGGCCCATCTACCTACACGGCTGCTGAGTATCACTCTTGAATCAACCTTAACAACAAGCCTTGAGCATAGCTTGCGCTCGCCCTTGCGCGCCCTTGCGCGCGATCGAAATGGTGTGCACTTTTTAAGCGACCGAGTTTTCGCTAATCGCCCTCCTAGTATGGTCAAAAGAACCCACCAAAAAGAACAAAGCAATGTACGTGACTGTCATGACCATGCTCTCACTCATGCTCAAGAACAAGATGTAGATGTGGCCACAAGCTGCACTCTGGTGCCCATGCCGACCACTGCAGGTACGTTTACCTGTCTCAACTCACGGAGCTTCGTTGGCAGAGGCCGTGAAACGAGACCCTCTGCCCCCTGCAGTATCCAAAAACCCATAGCCTAGAATCAGGGCTCACACACACACACACAGAAAGAGGTAAGTCTTGCGACGCTCAAGTACAAAGCCAGGATCTGTGACTGGTGCCGTGCATGACGTGTCCGTTAGGTTTCTTGCCCGTGCAACTAATGGAAAGTGACCTTTGCAGCAAAGAATCCGCGGCATTGCATCGCTCTTTCTCCCCTTGCGTGGCCTGGGCACATTTATTCTAAACGACAGCCCTGCAAATGAAGAGCACAAGTTGAGAACCTAACCATTACAACACACTTTATGCAGGTGCGCTGCGAAGGTGCGCCTTCAGACGCATTCGGGTGTTTGGCTTTACGCCCTTTCCTTCTTGTTTCCTGGGAGGTTGCGAAAGAACAGCTCACTTCTGATGTACGCAACTTCAATGCCGGCAATGTTTTGTCACGCTGATCATTTGTGCTGATGCCAATCCGCAAGCTCTGCTGTAACATTGACAAGGTTTTCAAAGCCAAGCAACTGGGCTGCCAGGTTCGCAGGCCTGCCGTGCAGGAGCAGCGCGCTCGTCTGCAGTGCCCACACATCCTCAGAACTCATTGAATAAATCCACTATTACCTATCCACTGTTACTCGACGAGCCGTCCTCCCTGATGCTTTTGAAGCAGACGACACCACAGGAACACAGACACTCTAGGACCTTCAAGTAGTGACCCAAGCAAACCAAGCTCCCATTTTCCGTCCTTCGTCTGGTTCGACTGGTCCGGCACCCAAGTTCCTGCATGGCCCGGGTTGGGATAGCTCGAGCAGTTCGCAGCTTTCCTTGGGAGCAACCTGACGTAACCACCAGCTTGCCGCCAAAAAGCTCTGATGCCCCCGTCCGCTGGAGCTTCGGCAAGCCCTGGCGGTGAAGAGGGCCGCAGATGCTGCTGACCATACCACGCGGCACTAAGTCACTTGTAAGCACCACTGGGGGGGTTTCTTACGGACTCCAGGGTTGCAAAAACTTCAGGCAAAGCGGATCAATGCATGCTGCCTGCGTGGTTGGGCTTCCGCTTCTCCTCGGCTTCGAGGAGCAGCAGAACTTCTGCTAAGGCTGAATACCCCCAGAGTCTGATCTATCGCCAAGGCTCTGGGATCCTGCGACACCGGGCGAGTCGTGGGCCTGCCCACAGAGGAAAGGGCATCATCGATCCCCCGAGACCCGTCCAGGCCTCGGCTGCTCGCTTCGATCGGATTCGCTTCGATGGCGTACGCTCTGGAACCAACCTCACATGTTCAAGCGGTACGTCCAACGGCAACAGAGCTGCAGGAGCAAAGAGGGCTCACCATCCGAACTGCGGGCTGCTTAACTCCTCCAGTGCGGAAAGATGCTGACCGCAGGCCCCTGGCGGTGCATCGCAGTGTGCAGGAGAGGTTGGTGTTGCCGCCTCGCATCACATCACGCCATGCTGACACCTTTGACAGTTTGGCATGGTCAATTTGCGTAACACCCGTTCCGCGAAGAAGATGCGGTCAGTCTTCGCAGGCAGCATGCGGTGCATGCTACAAGTACAGTATGCACGAGACAGCGGGTGCACACCGCCCACCTCTTCTTTGGGCAGGTCCGACTCCCTGATTCCAGGCATGGTATCGTACATCTTGGCATATGCCCGGTTTGTTCCGGAAGCATGCGACACTCTAGATACCTGAAGTTCAGCCTTCGAATCTAGCCACACAGCGACCGCCAGCCACCTGTCATCGGATGCGAGTGGCTCTGCCTGCGGGCACGCGTCACACAACTTCATAAAGCGGCACAGCTGAACATGAGTAACGACTGGGAAAACATCTGGGTGGGTCCAGAACAAGAAAGAAGCTGCTGAGATGACCAACCAGTCAGGCAGATGTTCAAGGATTCACAGCACTGCACATCCAAAGAAGTGTAGCAACAGCGCCAAAGGGAGCCCTCTGCACCCAGGTATTCTGCCTTGGCAGCTGCAAGAGCTTGAACGAGCTGCAGCGCCTTAGAGAGCGAGGAAGAAGTGACAGAGTGTGCAGATCTCATGCTGTGTCCTCCTAGAGATACCTAAAGCTCAAGCAGCCTCGATAGCCGGCGGCACAGGGGCACAGGGGCTGCGCCGAACCGTAAAACGGGGTATCGCAAGACAGGCCTCGGGCCTGCATCGAACGGCAGATCATGCCGCACACACTGGCGACCGACAACCTTGACCCCCAATGTTGCTGGCTGCCAGTAAGCCGGCATAGCAGATCTTCTCCCAACGCGCTCTCGTTTCAACATCCAGTTTCAGTTTGAAGGCCATCATAGGGCAACAGGGCGAAAAAAGCAACAGGGTATGCAAAGTACCGATTGGCTTGAAAGCCGAAAGCCACCAGATCTTCAATCGCTACCCCAATAGATTTGCGAAGATGCGATGGCCAATGGGCAACCTGACCGAAGCGCCCGCTCACGACACCAACTCAACCTTCAGACACGCCAAGTGTCGAATGGCTCCAACATGTTGAATTAGGTTACGTCAGATAGAGCTAATACTTCTGACTCCACCAAGCAGTCAGACTCTTCCTATCAATTGTGATTTCATCCTTTGTCAACACTCACGACATCAACTTTGCCTTTTTGCAGGCTTGTCAAGTTGGCTGCAGTTCGAATCACGCGTTGTCAGATAGAGCTAATACTTCTGACTCCACCAAGCAGTCAGACTCTTCCTATCAATTGTGATTTCATCCTTTGTCAACACTCACGACATCAACTTTGCCTTTTTGCAGGCTTGTCAAGATGGCTGCAGTTCGAATCACGCGTTGTCAGATAGAGCTAATACTTCTGACTTCACCAAGCAGTCAGACTCTTCCTATCAAGTGTGATTTCATCCTTTGTCAACACTCACGACATCAACTTGGCCTTTTCGTAGGCTTGTCAGATGGCTGCAGCTCAATCACGCATTGTCAGATAGAGCTAATACTTCTGACTTCACCAAGCAGTCAGACTCTTCCTATCAATTGTGATTTCATCCTTTGTCGACACCGACGACATCAACTTTGCCTGTTGGCAGGCTTGTCTGATGGCTGCAGCTCGAATCACGCATTGTCAGATAGAGCTAATACTTCTGACTTCACAAAGCAGTCAGACTCTTCCTATCAATTGTGATCTCATCCTTTGTCCAAGCTCACGACACCAAGTTTGCATCTAGACAGACCTGTCTCACATAGAGTCACATAGAGCCACGCGACGACAGATAGAGCTACTAGTTCTGACTTCACCAAGCAGTCAGACTCTTCCTATCAATTGTGATCTCATCATTTGTCAAAGCTCGCGACACTAAATTTGCATGTGGACAGACCTGTCTCACATAGAGCCGCGCAAGGTCAGATAGAGCTAATGCTTCGGACTTCACCAAGCAGTCAGGCAGTCAGACTCTTCCTATCAATTGTGCTATCATCCTTGCTCGTACGTAGCCTAGCCGGCGGAATGGAAGGACCATCTTGTGCAAAACCACGCACTTTCATGCAGACACGGGAATCATGGCCATCGCTGGCTTCACCCTCATTGTCATGTGGTCAGCACAATTCAGTAAGAGGCCTGTCCAAGATCAGGCAGCACTTTTGCCATCAGGCAAGGTCCGACTATTGCTGGCTTCGCGAAGCCGTCCGGCTTTTGGTATGCCGTCTGAGTCTGAATCTGTCGTCATGCAACTCGAGCGCCTACGCGCAGCTGTACGACTTTGCGGTGCAGAGTGCTTCTACCTGAGATCTCTCTATTCGCCAACACAAGGCGCAGTGGGCCACACACTGATCTCGTCAAGCTCAGCCGCCGATTGGTGACGCTAGCGTGCGTCAAAGATGTGCGAAGGCACGCGCAAGGCGCATAGACACACTTATCTTACCAAACGAAACTCAGGCAAAAAGGTGGACAACTTGCATTGCGAAGCTAACCATCACGACTTTCGCATTCAGATATAAACCCGTGCTAGCTGCTAGCAGGTCCCCAAAGCTCTTTTAATCGCTAATTTTATTGTCAATCAAAGGGCTCCGGCTTGGCATGGCAGCAATGCACAGAGTGGCAAGGTAACCTTTTTTGCTGAGCACTCGCTGTTGCCTAGCGCGCAGAGCGCATAGCACTGAGTCTTTCACCTCACTCAACAAGTAGAGCGCCTATCCTGTTGGTGAACCCACTCCGCGTGACCATCCTTTCGCCACGTCCCGTGCTGCTTATGCGCAGCATCATCATTACAGCAGGAATTACGATCGCGGATTCTTGCCACTGGGGCCAGCGTTCTCGTTGTTTTGCCTCGAAGGTCACTCCCATCTCCAGCCGTCCACAGCCTCCAGCTCTCGTACCTGACAGACTACGTAGACGTAGACTCCCGAACTGCAGGGCACTCCCAACAAAAGAGCCGCCACCACCCAAGAAGGAAGATTGAGCTGTTACATCTGCATCGAAGCAAGCCAGCCACCTCACTCGTATTCCTACCAATACAAGGTTGTTGCTTGCCTTCCAGTCAGGCAGGCCGTTGGGAAGCAGCTTGCTGTTTCGGTTTACCCGAACGAAGTGTCCGAGCGCTGTCCCGTGTGGCCTGGACCGGAGACACACACTAGATCGCTCCAAAACTCTTGCAAACCATCTGCATCGGCACGGAAAATGGAAGAAACTGCGACATGCTTGAGTAAGATGCTGGCGGATCTTGCTTCTCAGGGTCCTGCAACTGTGGGATGCTGTGTCGTATCTTCACTGGACCGATCCTAAACCGGACCTTGGCATAGTACTCCTTCAGCTCGGCGAGGTGTTCCCTCCACTCCTCCGAGAGTCTGGGGCCACCCGAGTCTTTGTGGATGGAACCCCAGGAGCCTCCTCCTTCTTTTGAAGCATCTTTTCGTAAGGCGTCTTCTGCCTGCATATGAGAGCTTCGGAAAATATAGAGACCCTAGTCGACTAGGCCCTAGTCCTAATACACGCCTGAAGCACCAAATGACTGTGACAGGATCCTACGTGACCCACGCCACGGTCCATAAGAAAGCTGCACGCCTGTTGAAGTAGTCAAAGCCCACAATCTCGGAATTCGTGGAAGGCAAGAGGCTGACTTTTGGAAACTCGTAGACAACCTTTTGAAATCGAGGTCCCGACGCACGCACCGAAGCTGCTCGCCAGGATGATTGGAACAATCGGCAGTTGCGGACTGAGATGGGACAGATGGGGTGCTGTCATGCCGTGGATTCTTGCTTAAAAGCGAAAAAACCTGTGGGAAAGCCTTGCTCTATTTGCTTCCAAAGGGCCCCGTTCGCAATGGTTTTCGATCACTGGCAAACGCCTCTCGGCCGAGAGGCATTGGTGCTCGTCACATGGCTCTCGAGGAAACCGCGAACAACGGCCTGCACTGCTCCGCGCCCCGCGGGAACCGCGGGAAGCAGCTTCGTTCGGTGCCATCGAGAAAACATAGCCCGTGATCTGGAAGAGGGCATCTTGAGCTCGTGAAGTTGGGGGCTCCGCATGTCAAGTGAGAATGTGCTACCAGAGTGCTAGGGGAAGAGCATGACTTCTGGAACCTTGCCAAAACAATGGACAAATTATGACAAATTAACTGCTATGACTGCTATGATCAGCCTGGATGGACTGTGACTAGCTCACCAACTCAATGCTCCGGATCACTGACCGTGATGACATCTCCATGATGAATGGTCAGCGCGAATATCACTCTCAATCTCAGTTACTTGGAAGCTCTCCGCAGACCCAGGCGAAGCCCGATCAAGGGGCGACAAGCTCCAGAGCCGAAACCGAGTTCATGCAACACCGTCCAGGAGTGCCACTCCTCCTTCGGTCTTCTAACTCTTAAGCACGACAGCTTCTAGAAGGGAGCTTCTAAAGATTGTTGGCATCTTGCAGAAGCCAAGGTCCTTGCCATCTGCTGCTGCGTGCCCTCAACAGGCAGCCCGAGGTCCCTTCAAAGGATCCCAGGAATCCGAGTGGTGTTGGGAGGCATTCCGCTGCTGATCTAGCAAAAGCACCTGGCAACGCGATATTAAGCCGTATGCCTTGGCTTGAAATCGTAAGTTTCTATAATGAAAGCTTTAAGCGGATGAACCGCTCAACCCGGACATGCCAAGAGTTCTGGGCCCTTCTGGGCCCTTAGTCGACATAGCAGCTGCAAGTTTCATCATACGTCTTTCCCACCCATCCAGCTGCAGAACACACAGCCAGTCAAGAGACGCGGCATAAAATATAAAAGGCTTACGAGGAAGCTTACTTGTGAGTGTTGGTGGCTAGAGGCATTCAGCAAGCTGAGCTAGGTTCCAAGACCTGGTGCCCATTTTTCTTGCATACGCAATGACAGCCTCCTCGTGCCACTGGCTGTTTCAGGAATCTTCTTGCTTCGTCAAGGAGCAGCTCATCTGCCGTCCGAGCAGTGCTCTTTCTTGCCTTCGGATGTTTGCAGAGTGTCCAGGTCGTGGCAGACTGTAGCCGGCAAGGTAAGCTGCCATCGAACAAAATACGGCATCCTTGATTCCGACGTCGTTGGAGTCTTCGACTCAAGGTGTCTCATGGTGTCCGAGGGGATGGTCATGCGTCGCCGTGGCCCTCTTACCCAAGGCTCTCGCGATTCAAGACTCGGCATTGAATTTGTTCATGCCCCCCTCGTTCTCAATCCGTTTTGAGGTCGGCCACCTTAGCAAGATTAGCACAAGTAGGGCGAATGAGGCTGGCAAGGCCAAGAAGCCAGCGCGTCAAGCACGCAGGAGGTACAATTCAGGGAAGGACAAAGTCTATCATCAAGTGACCTCCTTGGCAGTCCCATCCAACTTCCGCAGCTCCAGCATGACCTGCAGCCAAAACCAGGGGCTGAACGGGGTCAAACGTCCCACTGTCCAGACGACCATGATTGCGATTGCGCCGATGCTTGGATAATCGCACCTGGATGCCACAATAGAGGGTCAAGTAGGCGCCCCCCAGCACCCAGAGTGCCTGCCAGCAGGAAGCTTGAGAAGCTCCACGTCGCAAACATTTCGAATCATGTTGAGCAGACCTTGTGAACACTCAAGGGCAACTTTCAACCTGGATGCGAAATTTCACACGGCTCCATTCGCAGGTCTTGTTCCAACATGCGACGACTGGATGGGTTCGGCCCCGAAATGCTGTACTTGGTCAGGACCCAAGTCTTGACAAGATCTAGTGTGCTGGAATTAAGACGTCGAAGCATAACAAAATGGATACGAAATGAATGCGATTGAAAGTAGGAAAAATCGGAATCCAATAGGAACAATAGAAAAAATTGTAACACTGTAAGCCTCAAATGTGATGGAAAATATGATATTTTGACTTGGGAAAATGGAATTATGGAAATACTGGAAACTGGGTACAAAATGCAAAAACTAATAGATTCCTTTTATTGTCCTATGATTTTCCTATGTTTCCTAGTAGTTTACTGTTATTTTCCAATGTTTCTCCTATTTGCAAAATTGTTCCTGTGTTTCTTGATTAGTATTCGATTTTCCGATTTCCTATCTGTCCAGTATTATTTTCTATTTTAGCACTATTTTCCCATTCGTTCATGTTACTTTGTATTTTCCTCCTAGGTCCTAATAGTTTCCTACTTTTCTCAATTATGCTCCTATTTTGTGTTTTGTGTTCCTAGTATTTGCTATTTTTCTCATACGTTCCTAATAGCTTTTCTCTTGTTAGAAGTGTCCTGATTTTCCTAATTTAGAGTCTATTTTTGTCCTATTATTTTCCTGATTATTGCCTATTTTGTTTTGTATTATTGCCCTCTTTCTTGTGCAGAATCCTAATTCCAAGCATATTTGTTTCGTATCTGCTTTGTATTTTCCAACATTTCTAATGGTCGAACATCGTAAGGCGGGACCGGTCTCGACTCTCTGCGCAAAACAAACGTCGACAAAGATGGCTGAGCGGATGCGGACACTTTTGCACTTTTGCACCTCCTGCCACTGTGTCGCGGCAGGGAGCAGCGCGGCGAGGCCCGCCAGGCCGGTGGAGTAGCCGATCCTCTGGCTGCATTGGCTGTTGCTTCTGTCCATTGGCGTTCTTTCGTGTCCACAGTAGCTGTGGTTGTGCACAGGGTGTTCGGACATTGAGGATCCGAGAAACAAGGCTCCCCGACTCCAGTCAACTTCGACGATGGTGATGATGACGATGATGAGGAGGATGGGGATGAGGACGGCGATGGGCATGGCGGTACTGGTGCGGGTGCTGGCGCCCGTTCTCGTCTTCCCTGTTACTTCCAATGTCTTATCATAATGCTCGGCTCGGTTGTAATTTATTGAATCTGCCCAGCTTGAAATCGGACAACATCATGATTCCGGCACCTCCAAACTGTTCTCGGCCACACCCGAGGCCAGGCTTCCGACGTAGCACAATTAATGTGTTCGAACCCTCGCCCTTCTCTCTGCTGAGGTGATCTTGAAGCAATTGAGAGGCTCTCCCAAGCTTGGTGTGAGGATGACTTGCTGTGCACGAGGTGGTGTCGCAGCTCGAGTCATCGTACGATGACTCACTACACACTTTATTCCGCGAGTCGAACCAGTAAATACTCGTGGAGAGTTACGAGATGTGTCTACAAAAACGAGATCCCACCAAGGCAGCAAGCTTGAAAAAGGCCGAGCCACAGGTTGACTGTCATGAGGACAAGGATGTATGTGCTGCCTTGAGGAGGCATGCTAGGAAGATTACCGATAAGAGTCTCTCTGTTGCGAAACTATTCGCAAGCAGTGGCGGGGCCCCTGGACCCAGGATCACATTTGTTGGTCTCACTTCGGTGTATATTCGGAGTTCTAACTGCTCTCACCTTGGTTCTGTGCAAAAGCTTAAATCGAATCGCACGTCCCATATGACCACCACTCTTTCCTCGCTGCCTCGGCTCTCCTCTCTCCTGCTGTTTCCTCAAATGCTTTTAGGGGTGTTGGCGCCTGCGATTCCCAGGACCACCCGCCGCGGCCAAGGTCCCGCTTTGCGGGCCGCGGGCACTGCGCCCTGCAGTGCAACTGCCAACATCTCTACCCCAATGCGTTCATGGACCAACGTGGGCAGAAAGCACATAGTCATTAAGCATGGGAGAACCACGGCCGTTCTTTCTGATTTGAAGCGACTTTTCAGCTAACAACTGCATGTCGGTACACTGGTACTTGGTTGGAAGTCAGGCTGAGAGTGTCATAAGGCCCTTGAGGAGCGGGTGACGCTGCACTCTCTACTGAAGGATGGCTGTGCAGTGATAAGCTGAGGTGTTTGTGGGCAGTAAGCTGCTTGCGGTATCCTCTAGTGTCTCCCAAGCTGCACAGCTTGGATCATCAGAAGCAAAGTCGTGCCTCCAACCACAGGAAGCCGACATTGAGGAGCCCCCAGGCCATGAGCTTCACCTGCAACCGTGCTGTCGCTCTGTCAATCCTGCGCTTTCTCGGACTCTCCTAATTTGCGGAGGCACCCCCGGTACGCCATACATACACACAGTCGCTGAACTTCCGCTGAACCCTCTTACTACCACAGCATATCACGGCATCATCGCCTTCACTCATTCACAACCGGCTTTCCAGTTTCGTCCAGTATCACATCCACCCTGCCTCCAGATCATGCCAGGCTGCGACGAACAAAAAAGTGGCAGCTGATGCAGCCACTTTTCGTCGCGCACCACCCAGTGGGATGTACCTTGCATCAGCGCCGACGGCTCTGACGGCTAACCCGGCAAAGCGTCGTGCCCGATGTGCTCCGCCTCCCTGCACCTTTGCTTCAGTTGTTACGGCGCGCGTCGTGCCCCTGAGTTTTTAAAATTTTCGAAAACTCAATCCAGACTCCACTACTTGCGCAAATTGCCTCTTCCAGCTGGCTCGTGATGCTCCTTGAATGCTATTGAGTGCTATTACCCAAGGTAGTGGAGACGCGTCAGCACTGCGAAATGCGATGCTCTCTAAAATGACCCGAGTCTTGCACACGAGAGGTCACTTGATCTTGGCAAACACGGAAGACAAGGTGTTGCGACGTTTCTGCGGCGGGGCACACATATCTCACCAGCCAGCGATTGAAAGATGAATGCCATCCGCGCCAGAAGGCCGTCAGCGAGAAGTTGTTGCACATGCAGCGCTGCATGTTCTCCGGCACAGAAACTCCATCTGCCATGGCCCAGGCCTCCCCAAGGCTCATACTCGGGCATCAAAAGGTACTCGGGCATGATCGGGGGCAGAAAACACACTCCAGCATTGCCGCTGAGCCGCTCGGCCAAATCTCCACATGCACAGGAACTTCAGCCACATCATGTTCCTCGGGCGCTCCAGTCAGGAGAGAGAACAAGCTGTCTCCCTCACGTCGGCTCACAGAATACATCTTGACCTTGACCTGCAAGATCCTGCAAGTCCCAACCGACTCGCACATCCGAGACAGTGACATGCGAGGCACAAGGTCAGAAACACTGCCGCGGCAGCCAGCCGGGGCGTCATCTCCTGACAAGGCCCAAATGGGGGATCTGTTGTGTCGAATCGATGGAGAGGATCGAGCGCGGCAGCTCTCCCGCAGTCCCGCAGCAGCTCCACCCGCGCCATGGCAAAGGGAAAATAGAGATGCCAAGCCGACTCCTTGGTACCATTGGCCCAACAGCGCGACCGAGCCAAGAAAGTAACTCTTCAACCAATGTCTAGAACTTCAACTCCAATGCACTTCGCCATAACCACTCTGACCAAGACGAAAGAAGCCGCACACCAAACTAAAGTGACAGACCAAGGCCATCTCAGAAAGGGCCTTTGCTGCCTGGCTGCTGCCATCGCCAGAGCTATGACTAATTGCAAGAGATACCTTAGATGGACGTGGTGTGCAGAGCCGCGAGCATGGATGAGCAAAGATGGGCTGGACAGCTTGTTGCGGCTCCCAGCCTCCCTCCATCCCAACGCATCTACACAAGTCGAAACCGGCCCTTGGTTCAGGGACCTTGCAAGACATGAGGCCAAACCAAGCGACGCCCTGGAGGCTTTGCAGAGTGGCACTGGTCCACGAAATCGTCAAAGGTAATGATCGGGCCTGGCTTGTGAGATGGACGTTGGCCGTGTGCCGAGACGTTTCCGGCGAAGAACTGACGTCCCGACGGCCTGCTAGAAAGGTTGGTGCATACAGGAGGTGCGTAAGCGAGTTCAGGAACGTGTATCTGCCCTCTCCAGGACGTCCTGCGAGCAGCACAACAGACAGGGGATGGTTCTCGTCAAAAAGGCGGATTGCCGAGCTCCTGAACTCAGTGCCCAATGCCAATCGAGCACGAAGCTCATCGAGCCTACGGCGGTCTTGCGAAGAGCAGAGGCCAAAATTTCAGGCTTGTGGACGGGGGGGGCTCTTAAAACAAAAGCAGGCTGGCGGATGCCTGCTTGCTGTCAGATGTCAGGGTTCTGGTGGGAGAGTAAAAGCCGACACGAGAAACCCTAAATAAACCCTAAACTCGAAACGACGAGCCAAGAATCGAAGCAGCATGAGCTTGATTGAATGTGACCAGTGGTATACTCCAGTAAATGGTGCTGCATCTAGAAATGCAGCACTAGGACCCAGCAAGCATCCAAATTGCATCGAATTTTCTGGCAAGATCCTATGGTCTGCGACAGCGATGCAGAGCGCTGCTGCTAGCCAGGCCATTGGAATGCAAATCGCTCTGCCTGCTAGGAGTCTTCCCAAGGTGTAGAATAGCCCCGCGTACGCAAGCACGAAAGCCAAGCCCGTTCCGTGCAGAACGAGCAAGAAGCATCCTCCTACCAGTAGCGCAGCGCGGATCCGTGTAGTATCGTGGTCACCAGAAGTGTCCATCCGCACGGCAAGCAAACGGCGGATCACCACCTCATGCGACTGGACACGGCCCGAGCCGACACTTTGCCCGGACGTTTTGATTAGTCATTTATCTGACAGAGCAATGCAGCGTGTGGATCGGCCGAGGTTCAGTCACCACCGCTGCGGGAAGCAGGATAGGCAAAGAGTCCCGGAAGTCACGCCATTGGATCTCTCCGTTGTCGATCAAAGGAAACGGATAGATCCCGTCTTGGGTCCACCACATCCACGCCCTCCTCTTTACTGGGGCAAGAACACCATAGCAAGGTGTGACAGCAAGGCACTCACTGGTGCACGTAACCCATAACCTCGCACAACTAGCAGTAAAGCTGTCTGCCGTGCTTACACGGATCTGAACCTTCCGTGGCCTCATCGACAGATAAGTCCGACAAGGTTGCGAATAGACGCAGAGCAGCCGGAGCTCCCAAGCCGCCTGGAGCAGCGAGGCTTCACGGAACGGAGCTCTGCACATTTGGGAGCTACACCTGCACTTGGGCGAAACTGCACACCGTGATTCGGCCGATGCCCAGAGCGAGCTGCGCTGGATCAGTGCGGTGAGACCCAGGCCTTGGGCAACCAGCTGCAGAAGAAGTAGCAGATCCATGGATAGTACCTGGGATCTGCATGTATCTTCCCAGGTCACATGACTGATTGGTTGGTTGATTGATTGGTTCATTGAATGGCTGGCTGCCTGGCTGGCTGGCTGACTGACTGAATGAGGCAGCCAGTGAGGTGAGGTGAGGCGAGGTGAAGTGGCGCGAACACCCTTGCTAAGCACGGCACTGGGAGCCGCTCTGCACTTACCATGCAGCACTGCCGCATGACACCAACGATTATACTCAGCCGAGGGAGCAAGACCTCCAAAACAAGCACACGAACACGCTCGCATCGAACGCATGTGCTGCATCGTGAGGCTTCCTTGCAGATCATGTGTGTGGAGATGGCCCGCAGAAACTCTCCTCAACACCGACCGGGTGCAAGCATAAAAGGACGATACGAAAAGACAAGTAGGCGGAGGTCACTGCATCATGACGGGTGTCCCACAGCTTCCTTTTACAAACACCTCTGTCAAGGCAACTCACGGATGCTGGCCTGAAACGATTGCAAGTGCCTAGTTAGTACTGCCTACGGGCCAAAACCCTGCTCTGCTGGCGGCCATTCTGTCATGGGCCACCCATTGAAATGATGCAGCGCCGCATTGTATCACCGAAGTTAATGTGTTCGACATGCGGTGGGGATTGCGTGATTTGTGGTGGCGAGGGAGGAATCGATTAGGGGCCCGCCAGACATTTCAGTAAACAAGCGCTGCCGGCCCGCCGCCGTCGCTGATTAGGATCTCTGTCGATTTTGCTGGTTAATACCATCTGCAAGACAAAATCCTCGGGCAAACATCAAACAGGATGATCCGGAAACGTTGCCAGGCAGTTGCCAAGTTGCAGCAGGCAAAACTCAAGGCTGCAAAGGCGAGAATTGTGCCAGACATGCCTGAAGCCGCCAGATCGCAGAGATGCAAGAAGCTCTTCTTCCTGCAGGAAGGCCTAGGCGCGTTTGCAACGCTCATAAGTCGGTGCAATATCTGCCAATTCGCACTTGGCTTTCCATGCCGGAGACTATGACCCACCCCTTCTCAAGCCACAAAACTGCCGAGGAGCAAGTATGTAGTAGAACAGAAGATGCAGCGCAATCATGTGTCCGGGGCTTCTATGGGATGCTCATTTGATGCTGCAAATAGTGTTTAAGTACTCCACCTATACCACGTCTTCCCTGGCTCCCTCACAGCAGATGCTCAGTAAGTGACCTGTCTGTTTACAACGGTTGGCTCCGACCCGGTCTGAGCCCAAGCTGAGCACGGCAGAAGCGGAATTCTTCGTTTTCGAGGCTCCCGAACCCGGCCCCCTGAAATCCCGTAACTAACCCAAGAGTACTGCCTCAACATCTTCGCCAGTTGCGCCCGGGTAGCCGACCGCAAGCCTGCGAACTGCTCCTTCGGCACCATGGACTCAAGGCTCCATCATGGAAAACCTATCCTCGAGAAACGAACACCATCTGCAAGATACCCATCCCACCTCATAGCCCGGTGGAATGTCGGGGGCTTCGTCAAGAGGCTTTGCCTTGACCTGCGTCCATTGCCAAGCTAGCGACTTGCTTAATCGATCGACAGTATCCTGCTTGGAGTCAAACCCTTAATGGCTAGTGTGACGTGGCGGTCTACTGGGCATCCAAGTCTTGCACCAACGATGCACGACACCTCACAACACAGCAGGAATATGCAGGAATGCTGTCCTTTCTGCAGTCCGGCACTTCTCTTCAGGCAGGCTTGGGGAGCTGCTGAATATCAGGGCTTGCTGCCGGCATCTTGACTGGCTACACTATGTTGAGCATGCCCAAGATTCTGCCATCGCGAAAGCGTTCATGAGGCATGAGTGAAAATCGCCCTCCTCGTCAATTGTAGGAGAGGCGAATCATCCGTTTGAGGTGCAAACAGCTGGCTCAGATGTTGTCTGGCACGCGGTGGGGACGCTCCTCCTGCATCGCACTTGCATGACGGTAACAGGTCTACTCGGCATCCAAACGCTGACTTCCCGATGACTTTTCGGAGCCTGGAGCGTTGGAGCGCGGCGGCGGCTGGCGGCGGCTCTAGCCATCCACTTTGGCCATGTGGACGGCCAACTCTACGAGGCGGTTGGAGTAGCCCCACTCGTTGTCGTACCTGGCTTAGCTTAGTGCTGCCACTACAGCAGTCACTGCCAGTCCTCGCATATCCCCGGGTACCCTGGTAGACTGGCCTAGGGTAGAGCTATGAAGCATCCCTTCGTGCACTGCCCTTGGATATCATGAAACCTGTGCAGGAAATCCCGAGTAGCATCATGCAGCATCTAAGCCCGTCCAGACCATCGAATCTCCAAACCTCAGACGAGCCAAGAGACCAGCTCACAAGCTTCACGAAATTGTCGTTCAGCGAAATGCCGGCCTTTGATTTAAGGATTCCGAAGAGATGCAGTCGGGCTGTGCAGCGCTGGCACAAAACGAGAGGGTCATGGGCTTGAATTTGCCCTAGTCCCAGCCCCGCGAAGGATGATAGAGTCAGCTGACGGCGACATCGAAGATGGAGGACGCTTTACAGGTGACGAAGTCCGTGGACACGACTTCCTGGAGCAACCGAATTGCAGAGCTTGTGCTTGCGGCTCAGTGCTCGCAAGGCGCCTCGTCCGTCCAGTCAAGAACGCCCTTCATGGGGCCGTTAGAGGCATCCTTAATGGCGGCCACGATGTCCTCGCTGAAGAGCACTCTTCGACTCTCACGACCGGCCTCGGCTCAAGGACAATTCCGGAGCCTCGTACTTGGCCGGCTTCTCCAAACGGACGGTCAGGTCAACCACTGAGACATTCGGCGTTGGCACTCGGAAAGCCATACCTGACTGTGCAGTGCATGGTAAGGTCTATGCCCTCCGCAGAGGCGTCGAACGGTGCTCAGGTTCTTGTGAGGAGCCTGCCCCTGTGACCCCAAGTCCAGCCGAGTTCTTGGCCAAGCCACCGGTGAGTTTCTTGTTCATGGCCGGGATGACCTACACAGCAATGCGTAGCTTGCACGGAGCCCTGGGCCAAGCCCACCTTGCCCACAGCTTTGGCGGCACCCGTTGCAGACGGGATGATGTTCCTCAGAGTACACATCACATCATTCTCAGAGCCTCTGCTCTCTGCCGTGAGCAACATCTGCAGGATCCTGCTGCACTGCTGGATGTTTCGAGGACTGCCATGTTATTTGCAGCAGAGTGTCTGCGATGCACAGCGCCCACCTCGCCAATCCTGCATCGTTGCATGGGCTAGGAGTTCATTTCATGTCGCTCGAAATAGAGCCGATGGCACCGATCAAGTGTCACGGCTCTGATTTAGAAAGGTTTCGAGTCTCAAAGTACTAGTACTTGTGGGAGGTATGCAGCGAACATTCTTCAGCGGATCTCATCTGCAAGAATGGATCAGCTGCTCGTCTTGAGCACACGACCCCAGATGACCCATCCAGCACCAACAATTCGCGGCCAGTGGCTCGGATCCGCGGTGCAATCTTCGACTGATCTTCGACTGATCACAGGACTGCAGTCACCGCCATATTCTTTGAGAAAAGCAGCAAAAGCCAGTTAGGGGCTTTAAACCTGCTGCACATTCTTCAACTGATCCTTGGCAGCACCACTGTTTCCGCGGCAATCAGCAAGACATCCACCAAGACGAAGAGCTTGAACTTGAATGCTGTGGAAAGTGAGTCCGACTCCGATGGCTCTATGCGCCACCTCTTTTTCCAATCCTCGGTCCTGCTAAAGCCTCAGAAACATATCCCCAAAAGCTGAAACTCATTCCGAAATCATACGAGTTTTTGGTTAGCTTAGTGCAAGTAGGCTTTCGGCGGTTTCTGGGCAGGCTGGGCTGAGTCTTGAGAGATTTACGCTCCGGGTTTGGAGTTTTACCTTGAGGGTTTTAGAGAGTTGGGTTTAACGTGTCAGTGTTGGATTCACTTCAATAATGCTAAACGTTTGGTTTAGTGCTTTAGTAGAGGGCCTGTGGCGTTTAGTGTACAAGCTGTTCTTTCCAGACTTCAGAAGGCGAAGATACCTGTGGCATACTGCGGCTCTATTTCACGACGTTGGAGCCCTGTTTGCAGTTTGCAAGGATCCAGATATCATGACCTCGATCCTGAGATGGTTGCAGATCACCCAAGCAGCCAAACCCTCTTTTTGTTGCGGGCTCGAGACCTGAGAATGTCAGAGCCCGGCCTTGCCACCGCGGGAAGGGCCATCCACGGTGAGCTGGGTTGCTGTCATCGCATGAACCGTGGTCATAAGGCCCTGGAGCAGGGCAGGCGCGATCCATGTACAAGACCGTTAAACATGGAAGAATTGGGTCCGCATGGGTCCTCGATGATGCCGAACTTTTCATGGACGACTTTGGTGAGTGGGGCGAGGCAATTCGTAGTGCAGGACGCATTGGAAACCTAGGCCCAGGGCTGAAATGCAGATGCAGAGTGCACCGGGGCTTGCTTGTAGGATCTTGCACGATGCCAACTCTTACGACGTGTAACTGGCCATGCGCGCTGCAACCTCTCTTTGCCTGCGCTCATGTCGCTTGTGCCCTTGCTGTGGTAATTTGGTCAAGCCCGGAACCCGGTGAACGAGACTTGACGTGACAGTTTCGGCATGCTGGGGGGCATGCTCGCCCTGCAGAGACATCCAGATCTGATGGTTCAACCACTGGACCGAAGTAGACAGTCAAGGCCTGCGGCTGACCGCTTTCCATCGAATCAGGTCCCGTGCAGCCAGGCCGCGACGGTGTCGGTGGACTTGTATTCCGTATGGTTCACGCCAACTACGTACATGGGCACGTCATCCTACGACAAGGAAGGCCATGGGGCAAAATGCACTGCTACTACGGCTGAGCACAAGACTAGAGGTGCGGTCACAACTTTCATCCCGGTTTGTTCAAGCAGCTTCTCGCCCCATATGCCCGTCCTTGGGCGGTGCCGAAATGATCACCTTCTTCGCACCACCCTGGATGTGAAGCTCGGCCTTCTCCTTCGTGGTGAAGATGCCTCACTGATGTGCTCGGGAACTTGCAAGGGCTGCAAGGCCCGTACGGCTTACGAACACTCGTCATGTCATGGCTCGCCTGTGGATTCGCACACGTAGGCGGCTCCCGACTCTCCCCACTTGATTTCTTTTGGCTCCTGTTTACAGAGGGACACATTATAAGTAGCTGCATGTCTCTGGCATTCCCGGAACACACCACAGAAAATTGGCGGCGCTTGCTGCTTGCTACCGTCTTGGATTTCCCTCGTTCTGATTCGCGGCAGGTTCTCTCCAACCATATGTTAAGTTAACTGCAATTTCACTCTTTTGGGCTGCACAACCACAGGAAGACTCAACTAGCATGGTACAGCTTCTGTGTGTGTATGTATGTATGTATGTATGTATGTATGTATGTATGTATGTATGTATGTATGTATGTATGTATGTATGTAGATTGGTTGATAGGTAGGTAGGCAGGCAGGCAGGTAAGCAGGTAGGTAGGCAGGTAGGCAGGCAGGCAGGTAGGCAGGTAGGAGGCAGGTAGGTAGGGATGTACATAGCTTATCGTCGCGCGACAGCAAGCAAGCACTAAACCTCAATGTGACGGATGAGAATGGGCTGGTGGCAAAGGGGGCAGGTGGGTACGTCGATGTAGGTAGGAAAGTCGGGAGGTAGATTGGAAGGAACCACACAGGTAGGTGAGGTGTGCGACCTGACTATATCTACACGCAATGCCGTGCCTTGCCTTGCCCTGCCATGCCCGACCCTGCAGGATACCATACATACTCAGTTACTCATTGCTTTGCTATCGGGTGCAGGTTTGCTCGCGCTGACCCGTGCCGAGGCACCTCTCCCTCTCGCTCAATCACTCGCTCAGCTTATTTACAACGCTTGTTTGTTTGTTTGCATACATACATACATACATACATACATACATACATTAATCGAGGAGCAGTGTTCCTGATCGTATGTGCGCACAACACCTGTGCAGAAACATACGAGAAGCTTGTATGCAAATTCGACAAACTCTCCTTCTCGTGGAAGACTTGGATGTCCTTCCCGTTCACGACCTTACCCATTGCTGACACCAAAACACTGCTTTTGCTGTTCTTTTCGCTACTGAGTGCTGACAACTGAAGAGCCTTGATGTTGAATAAACTACTGACATTGGTCTTGATGACTATGCGGTTAAGAATGTCCCGGTCGCAGTTGTGTGTGCGCATGGATGGGTACAGCAGGTGTTCATTCCGATCGGGCCGCTTCAGCACTCTGGACAGCACTTGACCAATGTGGCGGAACGAGGGGTAGCTCTACGATGTCTGATTGTCTGCAAGTAGGCGTGTCTCATTTGGTATGGAATGCCATGATCAGGCTGTGTATGAAAATACGAAGCATCTTGCAACCTTTGATTCGAGAGGATTGTAGTCAGGTTACGAACGGACCTCGAGTCTTCTCTGGATCAGAGGTCGCAGTGGCACGTCTCAAGTCTGTTGTGCTGCGATATACTCGTACGAGATCGCACGATCAGATGACTAGGTCTTCACAAGCTGACTTGCTGCAATGAATATGCAGTACCAGGGTTGGCCTAGTTGCGGAGCCCGGTCTGCCCGCAACAAGTCACTCGTCACTCAATATGTCTATTCTTCGCTCTGAGGAGTCCTTCACAGACTTGCATACAGAAGCCTGCATAAATGCCGAGGTTCCAAGTACTCCTTTCCGCCGTCCTCCTTACAGGCCACCTGCGCTGCTATCCGACAAGCAGCAGGGATGGCTTAAGCGCAGGATGAAACGGATTCTGGTGATTCTGGAATGTCGCCAGGCTGCTGTTCCGTTAAACATCTTGTGGACACTGTCATACTTCAGCTGGTAGACCTCGGCGGCCCCGGTTTTCAATCGGAGGCAAGCAAGGGCTCGTCTTCAACAAAGTCGGAGTGGCCATGTACTTCAGGTCCATGAAGGGATCGTTGATAGCCTTCCGGACTGGCGTGTGGCTGGGCTGCTGGGCTCCAGACTCTAGTCCCCTCCCCATCGGCCTTGAGCTCGACATCCGGGTTGGCCATGGCAGCGCGGAAGACCAAGCGACCAATGCGGCCAAAGCCATTGATTCCAAGACCTGCCAGTATCTCTCTCTCTTCCTCTCTGCGACAATCGATCGCAAAAAAATACTACGGAGTGACTGGGCCGGGCACCGACAGGCATCTTGGAGAAAGATCTGTGAGAAAGATCAAAGGCTGCACACAACCACGGACCCTACGCGAGCGTCTGTGAGCCAAGCGGGGCACAGGCCTGCGGTGTTGATGCAAGCTGGGCCCAATGACACTTCTGCTTTATGCAAGCTGCGAGTGTCTCATCTACAAGAAAACCAAACAGAGAGGTATAAGTTTTCTGTTGGTTTTCTGGTCACAGGGAGTCCTGCTTGGGAGCCCTGACTCACGTCTCTGTTGCACGGCTTGGCCCCTGGCAGCGCTTTTCCGCGGCATGGCACTTTGGCCAGCAGATAGAGATTGGGAGTCAAGCCATCTGGGCTTTAAGCTTTCTAGGGCAGAGAACCAAAGTCCTACAGTGTAAGCCTGCACACTGGCACCCGGCATTCGTTTCTAAGAGACTGAAGCCTGCGGGCAACGTCATGCCATGCCTTTCAATTGGACGTCATGACATGCGCTTCAATTTTTGAGATAATCGCACATGACACTGCCATCCTCAATTGCCAACCTCATGTGAAGCTTGCTGCAGCACTTGCACATCAGACTCATTCCTGCAGACGAAACACTGATCCTTTCCATATTTGAGTCGAACCTCTCGCCCTAAGCAACTCGCGCGACGTCACTTCCTGGGCCAGCGACATTTGAAGGCCTACGCCAAAGATTGCACTGCCACGCACGACTTTCTCACCGTCAAACCCCAAGCCAACTCTCCAGAGTGTCACTCTCTCTACTTCGGCAGGCTTGTAACATCCAAGGGGCTACCAGTGCGACATCTACTATGAACCTCCGTAGCCTCTCCGACTGAGGTCCGGACCATGATCGGCGCAAGCGTAGCAGACATAATGACCAACAAAAAGGACACCAAGGTGCAACAAGACCCCTGGCAACAGCCGTAACGAGGGCGGCGCTGACAGGAGTGGCGTGAGCTCTGAGAGGTACCATGACTTCAACGAGCTATAAGTTTTTGGTCCGCTTAGCATCACCTCTGACTCAGACCTCACGCCACAACAGCCAGGCACCACTCCTGAGAGTGTCTTGCATCACCAGGCCTACTGCAGTACTGCCTTGAGCAGCTCACAGACAGACTGTGGCTCCGCAAGCAACTTGCGAGACGATCTCAGCGGTTCAGTTGGCCATTACGGCACCTACGCTTCGCTGCACTTCGGAAGCCACGCGCTGTCTGAGGCAACAGTGAAACATTGGGCCAACGTCGGCCCGCACTCGGCACCAAAGGGCAGAGCTATACGTGGCTGAAGTCGGCTGACCCCCTCTCATCGGGCCCAGCTGCATGCGAGTAGCGATGGGCAGATGGTACGCATGGGAAATGCTGCTTCAAGGCTGAACTCTAGGTCTACCTAGGACCTAGTCTGACTGTGTCTGGCAGCTGTTCTTGCTTCATCTGCCGTCGCTGACCAATTAACACGCCTACAGGAGCAAATTGTCAGTCTTGTCAGGCCGGTGCCTGAACCAACTCCAAGTGCTCCAGCTAGTGATGCAGAAAACCTACATCCGCAAACTACTGTGCAGAAGCCGTTTGGCGGCGCTGCACGAATGCGAAGGTGCTTCTTCGCGCTCTGAGCGCTAAGAAGATGCCATCCTTCCCATTAGCACTATGCCAGTGTGTTCTGGTGCAACAAGAACGGCATTTTACGGACGCTGCCTGCTGAACACATGATTGAGTGGCACCTCCCTGCCCTAGCGATTTTGGCCTCGTACCGAAACAACAGTGGAAGCGGATTCACGTACAACAAGTTCAGCAAACTAGTCTGCATTCGTTCCTCGCATAAAATCAGTCGAAGGCATCACGCCGCAATATTGAGAGACTTGCGCCGAAAGCAAGCCTCAAATTGCGGTTCGGAAATTTATCAGGAAAGAACATCACGGTCGCAAGTCTTGAGACTGTGTTTCGCGGAGTCCGGGCCATCTCGGCATTTCCCAGCGATATGCAATGCTTGCTCTCAAAGCTAGCGCTAATTAAGTGCCCACCCAGAGGTGTCAGCATCAACGTGCGCTGGCCAAAACACGCATCTCGCGCAAATCTGTTGGGTTCCGTAGACTTGTTTTGGCCAGGCAAGGCAAGGACTACAACAAAAGTGAAGCCCTTTCTGCTACGGTTCTCGGCTGACCCATGCAGTAGGCAAGGTAAGGGACAGCCATGTCCAATTCTTTGAGCCTGCCACATTCACGGTTTCAGTCTCAGTTTCTGTTAAGTGTAAAATGCCCACGGCGCCTGCGCGGTGGAAGCCGCAGCTCGACCCCTGCTCGATCTGCGTGAAGCAGGAGCCCTGGGCCATCAGCGGACGCTTAGGCCCAGAACTGGCCCGAAGATCCGAGCGCATCACGTCGTCTCCTCCTGAATTAGCGGCTTGAGGTCTCGGCCTGTGCGGCTTCGGCCCAGAGACTAAAAAGCACAAGGAGGAGAGAGCTCCCTTCTTCTTTTGTTCTTGCGGCATTTTGTTTGGGGCCCCGGACGGTCTCGGCTCGCAGGCGGATCAGCTGCTCCAAGCTCCTGAGCCCCGCGGCGACACCCCCCGGCGGGCTCAGCTCCGCCACAGACACGTCTCTGGCCACTTCCGCAGTCCTGTGCAACTCGAAGCTGTTGCAGAAGTCGACGGTGTTCCTGGCGTGCATGCGGACGGGATTTGTGCTCTAAAGTCGTATAGTTCATGGCTTCCGGACCAAGTGCACGGACTCCCTCTGGCCCTCTGCGACACGAATTCGAAGCCGAACACGCCACCTATAAGATCTGAGGCCCGACCTTTCGCCCAGCTTGTGGGCGTCGCCCTGCACAGTGTGCAAGTGACTGTTGATGCTCATGCCTCAAAAAACGGTGATTTGCAGCTGGAGCGTTGTGCAAGAGATGAGGCGGAGCTGGCACGATCGTTGGATGTCGTTGTTGTGACCGCACTCGTCATCGCATCACTTGGACCAGGTGCTGTCCATTCCGTCCGGCGGGTTTGGGATGCCTCCGCATCCGACTCACGGCCAGCGACCGTGGGAGACATTGCAAGGCGGCTCCTGCGCAGGCAAATCTGCTCGTCCCACAAAGCTCCTAGGCTTTCTCCACGGCCCAGGCTCAGGGGATGCATCTGCGATCACGGGCGTGGCGTCCATTCCTGCAGACCTGAGCGGCTGAGAAGTTGCGCTCTGCTGTGCCCTGCCGTGCTCTGCCTGGGTGCGCGACTCTTCCTCCTCTTCGAGGTCGGCCTCCTCGGCCTCCCCCTCCTCGGCTTCGGCCTCGACCTCCAGTCCCGGGGGGGAGCCCAGTTGGGCACGCCTCGGACTCGGAGGACCGAGGCGATCTCAGGGCGATTGCTCGCGAAGGGCCGTGCTCTGTCTCTCGTCGCTTGGCTGCACGCATGGCGGCCAACGCGGCTGCAGCTGTGGCGCCAAGTCCTGGCGGGCTGCCCACCGCGCCAGGAAGCATCACCTCCGGACCGTGGCGAGGTGGGCTTTAGTTCACCCGTCACCGTCTTGGTTAGCAGATACGTGTCTGCAGGCTCTCTATGCTCAACATTGCTCAACGACTCGACGGCCTTCTGCGGCTCCAGCGACTTCGAGGGCAGGCCAAGGTTGCGCACCGTTCGGTTGCGATGCTGCGGGGAGGCCTCAGAGCCGAAGGCGAACGACAGGATATGTGCAGTGCAGGTGTCAGAAACATGCCAGCCCGACCACCGGCCGCTCCTGGGCTTGTGGCCCGGCCTCTCGGAAGCTGCTCTCACGGCCCCCCCAAATCAGCGCACGATCTGGGAACCGCACCTCAGGGCTCTGGCCCTTAAGGGGCATGCGCAGTGCCTGCGCCAGAGACATCACCTGTGGAGTGGCCTTGCCGTGGCCAGGATGCAGCGTCTGTGCATTGAAACAAGTCAAGTTGCCCACAAAGTTCGAAGGCGCTGAAGGAGAATCTGGTGCTAAGTGCCCGGCAGCAGACGTGGACGATTGTGGGCTTCCTGCCTGCGGTTGATGCATCATCAACAACCCTCAACAGCCAATGAAAAGCTGTCGGAGACATGTTTCGCCCTCAGGACACACCATCACACGTGTGTCTACCCCTCTCGTGGACGCCTAGAAACCAGCCCCAAATATCCGCAAAGCATGCCCTACTGCACTAGGGTATCGTGCAACAGCTCAATGTTCTGGGATCCCCGACCAAAGGACTGGCGGTTGGTGAGGCTGCGGGCGAGGACAGGCACAGCTGAGGAGGACCACCTCACAGGCTCAGGCTCCGAAGAGCCGACACTTCGATGGCAGCAGTGATCATCGCCGTCACCGTCTCAATCCATACATTGCTTCATCCCGGAATGTCCTACTTCACGAATATAAAATGAACTCTTGCGCCACCATCTCGGAATTTTCGCACAGGCATATTTACATACTTATGCAAGTTAGAACCCTGAGTTAAAAGCTACAAGCTTATCGATGACAAGTTGTTACGGGCATTATAATTAAGAGCTTCTGGCAGGCTTCCTAAGGGTTTCAGGTTGTTTCAGGGGTCGTAAGGGCTTCCGAGGAGGTGCCCCTTTCGCCAGCCACTCGCGAAATGCACCAACAATGTCCATTGGGGGTGGTCTTGATCTGGCTACGTCGACTTTAACGACTCTTGCGCGGAACTTACGCGGTAAACCCTGTACTGGAGCCGAACTTTTGGTTTTGTCGTTGATAGGGTTGTGGGTAGTAGGTATGGCAGGTAGTGGTAGTCAGTGGAGACGGCAGTAACAGTAGCAGCAGCAGCAGCAGCAGCAGCAGCAGCAGCTAGCAGCAGTAGTAGTAACAGCAGTAGTAGCAGCAGCAGCAGCAGTCCCCGTTGCAGTAGCAAGAGCATGAGAAGTAGTGATATTAGTAATAACAAAAATAGTAAAGTAATATCGCAATGATAAGACTAATAGCAACAATAGCAATATTGGCAACAACAAAAGTACCAATAAATATACTAAATCATGAGAAGGATAATGGTGTTCATAGTAAACATAAACGTCATAGTAATAATAGTGATAATAGTAATACTAGTAGTACTAGTAGTAGTCGTAAGGGTAATAGCAATATTCCCAATGGTAGTAGCAAAAGTAACAGTAACAGTAATAGTAATAGTAATAGTAATACTAATACTAATAGTATACGTCAAAGTCGTAGTACTAGTACTAACAACAGAAATAGTAATAGGAATAACTGTAGTGATAATCATAATAATAATAATAATAGAAATAGTACGGCAAATAGGCTAAACAGATAACTTTCGCAGAAAGAACAGCTAACTTTAGCGGCACCGTCGCGGAACTTTCGCGAAGGCATGTTTAGCTATGCTGTTGGCCGTTCATATAAATAATGGCTCAAGGAGCTTTTAATCAACTACCAGTTGTGTTGGCGGCAGTGCTGGTGCTGGTGCTGGTACTGGTGCTGGTGCTGGGCGCGGGTGCTGGAGCTGCTGCTGCTGCCGGGGTAGGTGGACAGAGGTAGGTAGGTAGGTAGGTAGGTAGGCAGGCAGGCAGGCAGGCAGGCAGGCAGGCAGGCAAGTGGAGGTAGGTATAGGGAAGTGCCAAGTAGGTAGCACTTCCTGTGCACACGATTACTACTACTACTACTACTACTACTACTACTACTACTACTACTACACTACTACTACCACTCTACCCCTACTCCTACTCCTACTCCTACTCCGAATCCTACTCCTACTCCTACTCCTACTCCTACTCCTACTGCTACTCCTACTGCTACTGCTACTGCTACTGCTACTGCTGCTGCTGCTGCTGCTGCTACTACTCCCACTACTGCTACGACGACGACTAGTCCTACTACCTCTACTGCGACGGCGACGACGGCGGCGACGACCTTGGGTGTTCTTCACAGTGCCCAAAAAGTGAACTGACGCATCGATGACCGTAGCTGAACAGCGGCAGTTTTGTCAGCACACGAGAAGTCTTGTCACTCGACTTCTGTCACCTGGAGATGCTCTTTGCTTATAGATATGTTGCCTGTGGTTATTGCGCCTTCATTGCCGGAAACATTAAACCACGACACTTGTCGCAAGCCCGAATGTGATGCAACACCCACAGAATCGAGAATGGTGTTTGCCGGTCTCTCTGACTGCATGTGTTTCGATCGTAATATTCAAGCTGCCTGACTCTGAAGCCGCTGAGGGCGACGAGGCAGCGCCATCCTGGCGAAGTTGGGTCGAGCTTCGACATCCGCTCAGGCTGACTATGCAACAATGCCACTTTGCGTCTCGTTAAGGCTCGTTTCCCGAAGATCCGAGAAGAATCCAGAAATTCCCTGCGATCAGGTCACCCATGTACGAAAACATGGAGCGGGCGCCAAAAAGATATCTGCAATCCCCCCGGCTGTGCCGCCAATTCTTGCATTCTGCAGCAACGACGTTTTGGCTGAAAGCATCGGGTCTTGTCTCAACAGTCGCCAGAGTGATTCAGGTTTGAAGGGCTTTTGATTGCCGGCCTTGGCCAGCTTGTGTGGAGGTGCCGCACTCTTTACCTGCGCTTACGGAATCAATCTGCTCTAAGCTTTGCCATAACCAGTTCGGGGCGTGACGATTGCATCAACGAAGCTTATGAAGAAAGTTGCCATCGCTGTGCTGTAAGCCGACTCTTTATATCAAAAAACACCGACAGACTGGGTGAAAGGACTGCCCTCTCCAACACGAAAAGGCCAAGAACCTCAATCCACTTGCCACGAATCCGATGGTGCTCGTACCTCGCATTTGCAATTCAGTGCCGGGCGAGACAACGACCTGCCTTCACAGCTCTCACTCTGATGACACACACACAGACACACCCCAGAAAAATGGAACAATGCGACCAAAGCTCTGCTCCAGAGCAAAGGCCGCAGAAGCGGCACCCTGCCGTGAGATTCGACATGAGATGTGTTTTCAGGGACTCGGGACTGGTCTCCGTGCTGAAAGGGGCGCCTCCTGGCCCGGCAGGAAGCAAACGAAGCCAAAGCCACGGGAGCGGTTGGTGGCCGGATCAATCCTGCCATGCAAAGGGGGTCCAGGCTAGGCTGAAGGGCTTCAGCAGAAGGTCGGATCGGCATTCGCAGCTTTACAGCACTGCTTGCACAGGTATGATCGCAAGTAAGTGGCACCAGGAAGGTTGTTGCTAGCAAAACCTGCAGCAGCAGGGATGGAAGTAAACATGGCTAAAGCGAGAGTCACCGCTGCTCCCCCTGACAAGACCGGCAACGCGGCAAGAAAAGTGCCACCAGCGGGTGAAACAAGGATGATGCAACTGTGTAAGGTCATCGGGAACCCCTTGCAAACGGTAACTTGCAAGCAGCTTTTGCAAGACCTCGTGCATACCAAAGCCCACACGGCACTGACATCCATGACAAGACCGGCAACGTGGCAAGAACAGTGGCACCAGCGGGTGAACCAAGGATGCTGCAACTGTGTAGGGTCAACGGGAACCACTTGCAAACGGCAACTTGCAAGCAGCTTACTGCACTGACATCTATGACAAGACCGGCATCGCGGCAAGAAAAGTGCCACCAGCGGGTGAACCAAGGATGATGCAACTGTGTAAGGTCATCGGGAACCCCTTGCAAACGGTAACTTGCAAGCAGCTTTTGCAAGACCTCGTGCATACCAAAGCCCACACTGCACTGACATCCATGACAAGACCGGCAACGTGGCAAGAAAAGTGCCACCAGCGGGTGAACCAAGGATGCTGCAACTGTGTAAGGTCATCGGGAACTCCTTGCAAACGGTAACTTGCAAGCAGCTTTTGCAAGACCTCGTGTATACCAAAGCCCGCACTGCACTGACATCCGTGACAAGACCGGCAACGTGGCAAGAACAGTGGCACCAGCGGGTGAACACCAAGGATGCTGCAACTGTGTAGGGTCATCGGGAGCCCCTTGCAAACGGTAACTTGCAAGCAGCTTTTGCAAGACCTCTGTACCTCAGGTTTATTCTGTTATTCTCGAGCCTCTCTGTTTAGTATCGCCATCACAGCAGCCTCGTCTGCCCCAATCATTCTGCACATGCTAGTGCGGCCCTGTACATAGACATAGTTCAATGTTCTGCCAAACCTGCCGGCATTGCATAACCACCGCGTCAGACACGGTTCCAAATGCCTGGCTGCCCAAAGTCACCGCACAAAGCCCATTACTGTTATGTGGCTGGGATCTGGTTCTGTGCTCTCAGATGCTTTCAGCATGTGCGCTCCTGGTAGACACTGTGATCTGTGTTGCTGGGACATGAACCTCGAAGTGCTCTCGGAGTTCAGCTGCAGCAGTGTTCTGCGGCAAGCCCCCGACGAAGAGCTTGTTCGTGCCGGGCCTGTCTCCACAATAGGAAGCCCCAGATGCATAGACTTCGACATGACAGGATACCAAAGCAGGCCAGCCAGGCACAGCCCTCTTGACGTCCACTTGTCGGCCCCCAATCTGGCACCATAATGGCGAGAAGAAATGTTCTCGCTCTTCACAGCATTTCCTGAGCACTGCCTGGTGCGCATCATTCAGAGCCGCCTGGGCACCTTGCACCTGCTCAGGGCGAGAGCTCTGTGGGCGAGGGCAGCATCCTAGCGCTCTCAGCCTCGGAGAATGTGACGTAGCCAAAGCCACGGGAGCGCCCATCAGGCCAGCGCCTGGGCTGCAAATCCTTCATGAAGCATCCTGAAGTCATGCCTGTGCCTCCGACTCCATCGTGAAACCGCAGGTTTGCACTTGACTCATCCGCGACAAATCATGTTTCGCACGCGACAGAAATTCCGACGTCTCTTCGAGGGCGAAACAGAACAACGGCATCCACAATCCCGCCGTACTTCACCTGGCGGAAAACTTGAGGCAGGGCATAACACGCGATGAGATGCTCCTGCGATGATGAATATTGGGCACTGAAGCTGCACAAACTCACCGGTACAGAACTAGACTCTCCGGTGGAGGTCTTGGGATCTTGTGAAGATTCCGGATTGCACGGCCCTTTTTGCAGCAAGCTTGCCCCAACGAACAAAACGATGTCCGGCTGGCGAAGTAGTCCCTGAGGTGTTGCGTTGTCGTCCTTTGCTGTTGAGACACAGAAACAAGTGGCAGCTACAGGTGAAAAGACCCACTCGGCAGCTCTGCAGTGCACTGTAACTGCTTGGACTTCCAGAAGTTGCCCACGGCTTACACCTGGCTGGATTCCCACGTTTCTACACCCTTCTGATCCCTTCTGCAGCTCTTGCAGTGAGCGGCTTGTGCGCGAGACCACCTATGAAGATCTTCCTGGGATGACACTGGTCCTGACAACTGAACGGCTAATACTAAGGATCGTACTCTCTGACTCGGAAGGACGTTTGGAAATAGCTCGGTGGGATTCGCAGCAGCAAGCGGCTGCGTACAGCTACATGCGACCAGCCGTCGTTTGAGCTTCTGTTTTGCCGATGCCAGTGCTGTTTGCATTGCTGGGCCAAGACTGCGCAGTAAACCTCAACCTGCAACTGCATGCAGCAAGCCGAGGGTTCCGATACAGAAATGTCGACTAAGCTCTGGAAAAAAAACTTAGTGAGTGCCAACTCGACGACAAGGTCGGCCTCCTGCGTGGCGCAGTCCGTGGCGGTGCGGCGCCGCTGGGCGCGACTGTTTTGACTCCTGCCAGAATTTGATCCAAATGACTCTGATGGCCTTAAGCTGAAGTCGCCTCAGGCTGTGCTTAAACCCTGAAACCGACAAAACGATTAGGCCCGAAAACCAGGAGCCGTTAGCACTGGATAGAGAGCCCCTTCTTCTGCGAATGTTGAATGGAAATATGCATGCGTGCACAGAAGTACAGTCTACTCCCCGTTTACCCCTTTACGCTACGATCCGTCATAGCCTGTTGAAGCACCGAGTAGTATCTAAAGTACACCTTAGCCTGGGCAGCCTTTCCATAAGACGGTCTTGCAGAGTAGCGCCTCGCATTCTTTGCAGCGGCTGCCGGCAGCTGGGGCTTGCCTTCAGAGACACCTCGGGGGATCACAGCTGAGCAGTGATAGCAATGACCTTAATGACTTTGCAAATGCTACTCCTTCCGCTGCATCTCGCCGTCCTTTTTCCTTCTGGACCTTGCCCTTACTGTCTTATCCGCGTAGTTCACTGGCACGTTTGCGTGTTGATCGGAGATGGTTTGCCTCAACACGGTTTCCACGCAGGTTATGCTGCCGATGTTCCTTCTTGGCTGCGTTGCAGAACACAGTCTTGTCTGCCCAAACCCATTGTAGCCACTCTGACAAGCACAGACTCAGAGCACGCCACGAGTTAATCTCGGGCAAGAAAGCCGAGGCCCGAGCCCTCCACGGATGTGACCTGATCCGCCAGGGTGAAAGATCGGACTGGGAGCTATTTAACTTCATGCATACTGGGCTGTCGGCCTTGCCAGGGCAGATGGGTGACAACGTGCAGGAGTCAGCCTCGGGTCGGGAACCAGCACATTGCCCGGAACTTCCTAGAACGAATCTCGACTGAGGCTCCCGGCTCCCTCCATGGTTAAGCAGCCGCGGTCCTCGTCCTTCGCGGGTGTACTCAAACGATTCCCAACTGGTGTACCAGATCCCGCCACACTTCGTCACTGCATCGAATGATGAGGAGATCAACGACTATGTCAATAAATACGTAAGTCAACGACCCTTCAACGGCACACTGATTGAGAAAGTTTGAGTATTTGTTTGCTCGCTGAGCCGGGCCTTCTCCGGGCAGCACTGGGTTGGCCGATTGCAAACTTCCAAGAGCCAGATGGCGGCAGAGTGCAATCTGGGGCGCAAGGGCTCTGCTTGGCTGATGACTTACAACTGCGGGGAAAGCTTCTAGACGCTGGCTGATGCCAAGCCCAATGTACGTGGTGCAGGTCCGAAGCCGCGTCCAACATACAATGTCCTGCATGTCCTAAATATTCCTAAATGCACATGCCGTGAAATTTTGTACCCTTGCCGAGCTTGCGGCTGCTTGGCAGCGGCATTAATGTCAAAGCTCTATGGCATCTCTCCCGACTGTTGGGCTGTGTGAGGGTTTGCACCCTTCACGAGAGACAGGGCTGATGTCTTTGACGACCATGCTACAGATCCCAGACATCTGATCTCTGCCGGAAATCAAAAGGATGCGACTTTTCCGGGAGACGCCGGCCTTTACAAAGTTTGTAAAATCTTCCTACGCAAGCTCGGAGGCCTGGTGGAAGAGGTCACATGGAAAACATTTCCTGGCACAAACGGGCACCACACTGTGTCTTGCAGGAACCGAGTCAAGATATCACCAAGTCTACGCACACTGCAGGTTGAGCTTTCGGTGTCGCCTGGCAGACGTTGGGCGGCAGCAGCGAGAGCACTGTCTCTTCGGTCTCAACCCCTGCGATGGAAAGACTGCCACCTGGACTGACAACGCACTGGTGAAACCATGTACTGCGCAGGCAGAAGGGCAACATGCACCCTGTCTTTCCGGCCTTCGAGGCGGTACTGACGAGCAAAAAAAGGTGCTGCGGTCTTGGCCTGGCCAGAGAGAAGTTTAAGCGACTGCCTGCAGAGTCTTCTGGGTGTTGCCAACCCGGAATTGCTCTTCACAAGAGCCGTGCCTGGCTCTCCGGGCACTCCCAGGGCTGTCCACGCTGGTAGAAGAGCTTCCCCTTCAGAGAGCACGAAGACTTTGAACGCAGAGCAGTGGTGCAAGACGCGGACGCGCCGCCGGGCCTCGATGAACTTGTTGTAGGCGAAGAAACTGCTCCAGTTCTCCTCACGAGCGGAATGTGGCGAAGTCAGACTCACTGAAACCGTCGCATATCTTCGGGTCCTGCCACACAAGGTAGAGAAGCATCCGGCAGCGGCCAGTGGCAGTTGTCTCATCGATGAAAGCTCGGCCATTGTCGTCCATGCCGAATTCGAAAGAACCTTCCTTGCAGAGCGAGGCGATGTTTTGGCGCCGTCGCTGCTATGGACATGACTTGGCCACTGCAAGAGCTCGTTGTGCCGGTGATATCCGCAGATCTGTGTGTGGAAACATGCCAATCATGCATGCGGGTTGTCACATTGCCATCAATACAGCATACTTCGGTATTTTGCAACATGGATCTTCGTTCATGTGGCTTCTTGCATGACCTCCCAGTAAGCCGTGCTCCTTTCTTGTACTGTTACTATGGTGTTTGCAGCTTCTTCACCCCCGCAATCCCCTTTGACCATGACTAGCAGGACAACCAGTTCCTACACTGCACAGGGCAGTGCGGTGCTGCAGGCAAGCGTCTTTGCTTCCAGCAAACTTCTCGGCCAACGGCAGGTACAAAGCTCGCGACTTCCCCGTTGCATTTCGATATTTACCCTGACACACGGGCAAAAACAGCATCAACATTCCGCAGAGCTCTGAATGCCGTACGTACTGACACTCCAGTCACCGAGCTGCTGTCCAAAATCGAAGGCACACAACGACCGAACATGTCTCAAGTGTAGAGAGAGAGAGAGAGAGCAGTGGAGATTCCTCCAACGCCTGGTCCTTCAGGTTTTTCGCCTACAGTATAGATAGCAGATAGACTACTGGCTTCATGGATTAGCACGTGCTGACGGTGCCCAGCAACGTTTATTCGTAACATCTTATCTAACCCCGGAGCCATCACAATTTGGAGCCAGCTTGTTCACATTAACATGTTGGCTAGCATTGAAAGCCAAAATCGGCTTAAGAATGCATCCCACTCGTGTGTGCATGCCCAAGATCCTGGCCGAAGGGAACGTCACATTGCAACGTGTTGTATCTGTCCAGACCACAACTATCGCCTAAGAGCATGTAAACAAAAAGCCAGCCCAAAAAACTAGGGATATCCCACCCAAAAGCTCATATTTTGGCGGTTTTCTGATACTGAGTTTAGCGTACTACATGCAGCGATTCGGCTCGGTATCCGCACTGCCTCCTTGTGGAGATCCAGGGTATTGCGCTCCAATTGGTCCGGTTTGTCCACCTCTGACAAGAGATGCAGATCGGTCTCTCTGCAATCATACACACGTCACTAAATCTTAGTCGGCCATTGATTCTGGGTGACCTGCTCAGATAGACATCTCATCATCTCAAGCCCGTAAATGCTGGGGCTCTATGCGATCATGCAAGGTATGACAACGTCCTGGTCGGGCCTTCGGCTTTATCCACCAGAAATCCACGTCTTTGTCAAACTGCAACACGCAGAAAGCTTTCAGTTGCTTAACAGTTCCAGCGAAAGGGCTTCTGCACTGGCCTTGCAGTACATCACCGCCTGCATGCCACAAAGGCTGTTGGGGCAAACACCTGGACACCAAAAAAGGTCACTCGGAGATGTCATCGTTAGTCCAAGCCTCTCCTGCCATTCCGAAAGGCCGAGAGACAGGAGCTGCTAGTGTGACTTCTTCTCGGTCAAATGAAAATTATCTTTGAGGCCGCGCACCGGCCACTGCAAAGAGCGGGGTGCCACGGCGGCGACTCTCGACGCAGGTGGCCATTCCCTGCACTTCAAGGCTGTGAGCATTTTACTGGACCTAAAGCCATCTTGCATACAAGTGCCCACCTTGTTCTTGCCGTCCACAACCATGGCAAGAAGTTCTTGGAGCCAGTGGAAGTGAGAAAGTCTATTCTTGTTCCTGGCACAAAGATCCAAGTGTTCACGCAAGAAAGCTCAAGTGGGGACGGTGCAACTGTGATGTGGACCTCACTGCCAACTTCTCCGCAGTTCTTCGGGAGACTTCGAGGTGCACAACCTGAATGGCAGCTGCACCATTTTGCTGTCAGATCGAATTTCCGAGGATTGGAATGGCTGTCAGAATCTTGACACCCGAGCAAGCCTTGGGCGTGTGCTGACCAACGCATTAAACCCACACATCGCGTCGTAGAAATTTTGCGACAGTGATGACTGTTGGCATGAGAAGCCCAGTGCTGTCGCCTGTTGCAACTGATGCATGCCGCCACATGTCTACCACGACGTTGCTCCCGGAAGTTGGTAAGGCTTTTTCTTCCGGAGTTCGAGTTGGAGCATTCGCGAGGAAATTCCCTTGTACGAGTGGACCAAACGGACAAGAAGGAAGGCGTCATATGGGCACTGTCAAACGATGAAGCTCAACGTCTTCGTTGGGCGGTTCCGTGCTGAAGTGCAGTGGACATCAATTTGCAAGTGGCTGTGTTGCAGAATGCGACTCGGGTCTCTCTGCGTATTCTCCATATGCTGTATTTGCGACCACCTGCCGTGCAACTGTTCCTGACGGCCCATCCATCGGACATGCAGTGGATACCAAACTGGCGGATTCTGAAATGCCACCGAGCAGCATGAAAACCTGAACTGGGCAACGGGGCAGACTTGCTCTACTGCCCTCCAAAAGGCAGCGCTCATGCGAGACTCTCGGCTGCCGCACTCGAAGATTTTGGAAGGTGCAGAAGCAGACTCTGACTGTTCCTTCCAACTGCATTCCACTTCGGCCGAATCGCACGTCCATCGAAGCCGCTTCCATGCATCACCGCTTGCGAAGCACCAGGCCATGAATTCCTCGCATTTCATGCGACAAAGCAACGGATTCGCTAACCTGACGTTGCATCTTCCTCCAGCTGGATGAAGCCATCGCCGTCGGTGTCGATTTGCCTCAGAAGCTCCTCGAAGCGCTCACCTGAGAAAGCACCTACGATGTTGACCCCAAAGCAAACCCCGGAGCATTTCGACCGGGCCGGTTCTGCCAAGCCACCCCGCACGTCCGAAGGATCGGCTAGCTGCTGTAGCACAGATCGCAGCTCCTATGCGAAGGAGTGGCACTGGCTAAAGGGATGCAGGCAAGCCCGTTAGGAAGTTGAAGTTGCGGCAGAGGCGACAATGCAGTCGCAGGCCACAGGTTCGTGTGAGTAATTGCCGACCGGCACATCGACCTTGTTGCGCCTGCCTCCTTGCCCCACGAAATTGAGTCTTTCCTGTTGAACTGCGGAGCACGACTTGCAACACGCATCCCGAGAGAGAGAGAGAGAGAGCGAGCGAGAAGAGCGAGCGAGAAGAGCGAGAGCGAGAAGAGCGAGAGCGAGAAGAGCAAGAAGATCGAGAGCGAGAAGAGCGAGAGCGAGAAGAGCGAGAGCGGGAAGAGCGAGAGCGATAGCGCAAACACTGCACAATGAAATGGCATAGGCAGTGTCCTCATGGCTCACACAGTTGTCCCTGCATGGCACATCGAGTGGACAAGGGCAGAAGGCAAAGCACAAATGAAAACTCATTCTAGCCGATTCTAGCCCTCACAAGCTAGGACTGAACGGCAATTTAGGGAGAAAGCACACAAAGAATTCCACTTCAATGCCGTGCTCCAAGCGGCCTGTTGGCATCAAACTTCTGGAACAAGGCCAAGACTTGGTCTTCCTGCGCAGTTCACGCCGGGCGAGCGTTCACGTGGCACCACATTTTGCAGAACGGTGCTCATTGACATGGCAACATGGCAATGTCCTGGAATGACACGCTATTCCGCGTAGAACTCCGGTCCATGTGGATGGACTTGTTGGAGGAACGGCTAGACATGCTGGCCTTCGTTCGTGACGCTCCCAGTGCCACATGCCGGTGTTAACTTAGCGAAAGCAACCATGCAACTGCAATTCGTCGATCCGAGCGGCATGCGAGTTGAGGGTGGTCAGCGCGGGCTTGGAGCCGCCTCCGCCCGACGGGCTCGAAGGAGTGGGAGGAAGCGCGGGGACGCCTTCGTTGAAGTGGAGGTCCGGGATGTCCGGCATGTTAGTTTCGAGCTGGCCATCCAAAACCTCCAGGCCTTGCCGACTCAACGAATCGCTGGGCGGTGGAGCTCTCTCAAGACTGCATCTGCCTGTCCGCTCTCGCGTGGACACCTCTGGGTCGCACGGCATGCAAGGCCGGTTCCCGAACTCCTGAGGACACCCGGCAGATGCTGTGAACTGGCTCTCAGTTTTGAACAATGTTCAAGAGCTCAAACTTCGAGCCCAAATCTCCAACACCACTAGCAACGCTCGCCCACCTTGTTAGCACAGTACTCATCTGTGGGCAGCGTATGGCTGCAGCAAGCCCCCATGGCGACTACAAGGCTCTTTTGCCAGCCGCTGGAGCTGTTGACGTTCGAATCACATCATCTGTTTCCAGCTTTGCTCAGACAAGCCTGAAAAGGTTGGCACTGCTGCAGTCGATGTTGGATCCATTAAGGCAAAAACCATCGGAGCAGCCCTTGAAATGATAAGCTGCTCTGTGTCTTGCGACGCCTGATGTTCTGCTCATGGCTTAGAGCCGGAACAAGGTCAGGTAGCCAACCCCGTTTCCGAGCAACTGCGTACGGAAAGGCGACGTCTCTGGATGTCAAACTCCCAACCCTTGATGCAACACTCCCAGCACTTGCATAAAAGATTTTTCTGGTTGCGCATCGTTCCGGATTCCTAAAATCTGCGAGTACCAAAAAGTCGTTCAAAGCATATCTAGTCAATGTCTCCCTGCCATCCGTGTTTCGGAGATATGTGGATCTCGTGCTTAGTGCTGCAAACAGATTTGCAATGATTAAAATGTTTGCCACCTTTGCTACCATAACTTGGGAAGATTGACTGCAAGATCTCTTCAAGACAGGCAATCCCGGGTCCGATGCGCGTCTCTTCGTGCATCATGTGCAGGTATGTGAACAGCTAGACTCAGGCATCAGCAGACATGGGGTGACAGCTGTCCGCATGCTGTCCTTCACTCATCGTCATCGTCACCTCTCAACGGCATTCGTTTCTAATGCTCGTTGACGCAAAGCCCACAGTTCAACACTCCTCCTGGTTCTGCTGAGTTGCCGTCATCAGTCGGGGACTCCACTTCATAGACCCAGTACCACTGCCTGCCGACGACCTGCTCTGACAAAACGCATTTCATGGATCGCGATAATCAAACATCACGACAACTACAGTATTGCTACAGTATGGCAGGGTGCAAATGGTGCAACTCTCGGAATTCGCAAAGCCAGCGCTCAGCTGAAGAGCATCTCAACTGATCCGCGAAGAGGTTGCGTGCTTCTTTGAGGATTGGTGCATGAGATTCACCCTCCCTGTGTGAGCAGATACAAAACCTGTACCCTAAGCCGAAATGTGCCGAGCAGATGACCGACTGGAGCAGAAAACAAGTTGTTGTCGCATCATGTCTTGCCAGGATTCTAGAGCATGCTCTCTCAAGGCACTGAGCGCATCAACACCATCATCCCACTACGATTTCGCAGGGGTTTAGGCCTTCACGGTCATGGTCGAAGCCACGGCCTCTTCCAACGCGTAGATCGTGGTGAAGGCCTCGAGCACCGGACGCAGACTCCACTTATCCTTCCATGACGTGCCGTCTCATACCGCACCGAAACGATCATCTGTCCGATTCAATGCACCTCTCCTCCGCCCCTCTAAGCTCTCATGACGAAACAGATCCAGCAAGGCCATCGAGACAAACCTGATTCGAGCGCTTTTATCTTTTGAAACGGGTTTGAGCATCACAGGCTCCCGCGCACGAATCTGCGTTTGCAGTGTGCGCTGAACCGGCAAGCTGAAAGACGAGTGAGAAACAGAGGCTGGCACTTGTCATTATTGCTCAGGACCGAATTCCGCCTCCGCATGTCTGCGGGCACGTCGGCAGTAACGTAGGAGGCTGGCAACTGACCGTCCCTCCAACCAGCTCATGCAAGCTGCTGAGAGCACCGAGACCCCCAGGAAAACAAAGGCACCAGCGAGGCTGCGTTGGTATGCCCGCGCAGACTCTACAGATCCGACATAAAGGGTGGCGACGATTAGGACCATGATAAAAACGGTCTGCAGGTGGTCCAGGCGGCCGAAGCGGCGAGGAGCCAAGACGTCGCAAAGGTAGACCATAAGCAAGTTGGATGCCCAAATAAAGAAAACGTCAAAGCCCAGGAGAATCCCAACGGCAAAGGAGAGTAACGCATCGGAAGGGGCACCACCCTTCCAGGCTGCCAGAAAGAACTCAGCGCTCAGGCTGAGGACCGGCGTGAGCAGCAGCAGGAGGTATTGGTTCGGAAGCCGCGTGCGAGAAAGTGACTTCTCAAGCTCATACTTCAAGTCCTGACGCACGAAGTCGACGAAAGCCTGTTTGCTGCCGTACCACTTCTCAATGGCAGCAAGGATGAAATCTCCTGCAACCCCGTCAGGCCAGCCAAGTGTACTTAACAAGGTCTGCTTACACTTGAACGGCCACAACGGGCTACCAAACATCTGCTGGATGTACTATGTGCTGCCTCGGAGCTATCAAATTGCTGAGAACACTTCACAGTATCCAGATCGAAGTTGTCAAGCTGGTGCAGAAGCTGATGCTTCTGTCGAAAATTCATTCTCAAAACGTAGATAGCTAATGGAAAGGGCACAGCAAAAATCAAGAGCAGCACGATCACGTTGTCGTAAGAGATATCCCGTGTAAACAAGCAGAGAAAGGAGAACAAATACGAGCATAACATCATTGTCAACACAGCCTGCTCGATGAACAGCGGCCTAAAGGTAATCCTTCCATCTGGATTCACTTTTTTGTACGCCGCAAGCTCGAAAACGCACCAAAGACCTCGGTGAGCCAAAGATTGTAATGATTGTAATGGTAGG